TATAAGAAAAAAGCTATTCTCATAAGCAATTATGCCATGACTACGGAGAGCATGCAGGTGTTAGCAGTAGTTGGATTGCAGAGCGATTCTTTGTCTTTTTTGTGATCACACAACTAATTAGATGTTGTGCGTTCAAAATGAACTGCTCTTAAATTGTAATTGAATGTCATTTCACTGTGCATGATAAGACGCTTCTTCCATACACTGAACATTTCTGTATTTCGAATATCGATCTATCTCATTCAGTCATCAAACACTCCACGTCCTCACCTCATCCCTCATCCCCAACCTCTGCTCGTAATTCACGAGCATTTTCATCAATAACTGTGTATTAATTCAATAACAATACTGCTATCTTTACAGCTTCACTATGCACGTCAACAACTCTTATCAGTGCCGCTGCCAAAAATGCTAATAATAATAACAACATTCTTAACGGTAATAATTGCGATAACATTAATAGCATTATACCAATGGTAACAACGATAATAACAATAATGATGATAATAATATGATAAAAATAATAATATATAATATTAGCAATAATAATAACAATAATAGCAGTAATAGTATTAATAATGAAGGCAATACAACTGTGAATTTTATCATTATCATGCTGCATTTCGTTCACAATTTTCAGTCAAGTGATTTGATCATCTGATGATGAATAGGGAATAAGAGCAAGGAAAAGTGGTGTTAAAAATGAAGGGTTCAAAACTGTTTCAAATACTTGCATGCATTCAAACGAAGTGAGACGGTTATATGGTTGAGATGAGTAAGTGGAAAAGCTATATGAGTGCTTAGGGTGAAAGTGTACTTCTGTCTGAATAGAAGATTAAGAAAAATCAATGCTCATAGTGGTGAACGACCATATGGATGACAAACGACTTTACTAACAAGTAGATTCAAATAACGTCCTCAAACACTTATTACGATGTGACCGACCAAGATAAACACTCGTGTTGGAATAGTATGAATTACGGTGCTATTATCTGATTTTCAATAACTGATGAAAAAGTTTGCATTTTTTTGCGACCGAATGGGAAGCAGATGAACTGCATCCCAAAAGGCATTGTATCTCAGCGATGAAAAGATAATCTTCCTCTGTGAGCATTTGTGAAAATTTTGGGTGCTCTTCAATTAACCGAAAATGAGCGTTAGTTTCGAAAAGAGTGAAGGGATTCATATTGCACATCAAGAATGATATCGTAAATTTAGCGAGAGGCTAATTGGATAATGCGAGATGGATTAAATGCATATCGAAATGAGCATAATTTAATACGGAAATCAGCATCGATTATGAACGCTGAATTTAAAACTAAACGATGGGTGGATTGAGATAGCTGCCAAAAAGCATGCTATGGACCAGAAGCAGCGTGAAATATAGACTGCGCAAACCTGATACTATCACATGAAGCGTTCCAATTTCTAGAACTGTGATTACATTGATCACTTAAAAAACTCATGAATCGAATGTGATTCGAATAATAATAAATGAATTTAATTTTTAGCTGACAATATTAATGGAAATGATAATGAGCATGAACTCAGTGCTGCAATTTAGGCAAACAAATTGACGAATTGAACAGAATTTAAGACTAAACGGTGGGTGGATTCATCAATATAAACGCAGTGATTGAAGAAAACCACTCGCTCACAGATCTGCATTTAGGTGTGAAGGGATTTGGACTATCCAGGATACAAACGAAAACAAATGATCATACGACATTATGAGTTGATGAAAATTAAATGCATGCAAATATGA